GGAGAGGGGGAAGAAAGATTGGGCACAGATAAAAGCAGGTTTGTTGCTGGGTGGCAGGAGGTCAGAGTGCTAGCCATCTCATAGCTTCTATTCTTACAGCTGAGAAGGCGAGTCATCTATGGAGACAGAGGGGAGGAATGCAGCAGGGCGGGAGGTTGGAGGAGGAGTCAAGATTTGAAAGACCTATTGTGGAGAATGAGGAAAAACAGACTAGGGACCAGGAAGAATTTCTTAGCCTTGAGGACCTTGTTGAGATTGACTGTCAGGACATTCTAGTGTCACAAATTCAGGTACTCAGGTATCGGCAGTGGGGTTTACTAGGGCTTTGTCAGGCAAATGTGATGAAAGGACAGCTGGCAAGAGATGTGCAGATGAGAGGATGCGGTTGAAGTGATAATAGACTATATACTGAAAAGGAACGGCTTAGAAAGTCGGGTCATTTAAACATGCTGATGGATTATCTGAGCCTGCGGGTTCGAGACCTGCCTGGGCAATTTGACAAGACCTCATCTCTACAATAAATCAAAAATTAGCCGGGTGTGGTAGCGCGCGCCTGTAGTTCCGGCTACTTGGAAGGCTGAGGCGGAAGGATTGCCAGAGCCCAGCAGGTCGAGGCTGTGGTGGCCGCGAGCGGCCACTGCACTCCAGTCTGGGCGACAGAGTGAGACTCCAACTCAAAAATTAAAAAAATAAAAATAAACATGCTGAAACAGGCTAAGCATGGTGACTCATGCCTATAATCCCAGCACTTTAGGAGTCTGAGGTGGGACGATTGCTTGAGGCCAGAAGTTCAAAACCAACCTGAGCAACATAGCAAGACCCTGTCTCCACAAAAGATAAAAATTTTAAAAACTAGCCATACATGGTGGCAGTTACCTGTAGTTTTAGCCACTCAAGAGCTAAGACAGGAGGATAACTTGAGCCCAGGAGTTTGGGGCTGCAGTGAGCTGATTGTGACACTGCACTCCAGCCTGGAGTGCAGCAGAGCAAGACCCTAAAAAAATACTCTCTAAAAACAATCTCTAAAATAAATAATAAGACCAAGTGTAGTGGCTTACACCTGTAATCCCAGTACTTTAGGAGGCCAAGGCAGGAGGATTGCTTGAGCCCAGGATTTTGAGACCAACCTGGTAACATAGTGAGACCTTGTCTCTACAAAAGTTTATTTTCTGCTTTTATTTTTTTATATTAATATTCTCACACAAAAAATCACTGAAAATTGGGGTGGGGTTGGGAAGACCCCTCTGTCCCTGGGGCAGAGAGACAGTGCAGTGTGAGGGAGCAGGACTGTAAACCCCCCACCCTTCCACAGCCCCAGCGAGGAGAAAAAAACAACCAACAAAACAAAAAGCCCCAGAGAAACTCACCCCGGGGTGTCCCTGCCTCAGTTGAGGCCCTGGCCCTAGGCTATTTCACGCTTTAAAAGAAAAGTTGTGGGTGAAGGTCCGTGTTTTTAAAATTGACTGGGGCTGGGAAGGACAGGGTTCCTTTTCCTGATAGTTCTTTTGTTAAAAACCTTTAAATTTTTTTATTTTATAAAAAGTAGCCGGATAGAGTGGCACTTGCCTACAGTCTCAGCTACTCAGAAGGCTGAGGTGGGAAGATCACCTGAGTCCAGGAGGTCACGGCTGCTGGTGAGCCATGAGCATGCCACTGTACTCCAGCCCAGTGGGAGTCAGAGTGAGACTCCCAACTCAAAAAATAAAATAAAATAAATAACAAGATAAATAATTAAAATAAATAAATGAGCCAGAGCTTTGTTGATTTTCTCAAATCCACCCACTGCATTACACTAGGAGCCACCATCATTTCTCACCAAGCATATTGCAACGGCTTCCTAATTGTCTCTCTGTCTCTGGTCTTTAACTTAGGTTGTCAGGATACAGCCATTCTGGTGCTGACAAGTAAAGTGTGGTGTATTGGTGTTGAGTAGACCAGCTTGCTAAGGGCTGACCCCTGAAATGCATCCTCAGGATGACAGAGGACTTGGAATGAGGAGGGGCACCCACCAAAAAAAAAAAAAAAAAACCGCTTAGCTTGGACTTGAGTTTTCCAAGGGGAAAGTCTCATCGCATTTTCTGACCTGTGCTTGTTCACTGCTGGTCTCTAATTGTTACTTCTCTCTCCTCCCAGGCTTGTCCTTGATCCCTGCCCCTTCACCCACTGACTGCCAGTGAACCCTGCAGTCAGCTCTCTCTAAATGGGGGAATGTAATTCTTCATATTCTGGTGTCAGGGGTAGGAGCCATATCATGCTGCCAGAATTTTTTTCCCCCCTTGGCCACCACTTTTATCAGTGTATAGCATGATTCTGCTCCTTTATTTGTTTGGTTTCTGCTGATAAATTTTTAGTAGGAAGTGTGGACAGATTTGTGTTATTATTTCTCGTCTTTGTTCATTGTTTATAGATGCTTGGGATTAGAAATTTTATGTTAATAACTTAATCCACCATCTTGACCATGAATTTAAATCTATAGTAAGATTTTTTGTAAACATTGTTATTCGGTGGTTTTGTCACCATGGACATTTCATCTCATTCAGTGGTTTTCTCACATGTTACCCTGATGTACTTTGATGAGAATGGTAGCAATTTCATCTAGTGGAAACCAGAATCACCGGCTATCTCTGTGCATCTCTAATATAATTTTAACAGGTTTATAAATTGGTCTTAAAGTTACTGTTGCCAGGAGGAACCTGGTCACCCTTTATTTGCTGCTTCTGACTATAGCAAAAGCCACAGGAATGTGGATTTCAAGGTGCTTCAGTGGCCACATGAGCCGTTATTTACAATCTGTTGACATTCTTGCTCCTTTTTGCCAGGGTAAGGGTATTAGCTATGCACCAGTGAGTCCGGCCACTTCCGAGGTGGAATTTCTGCTTCCCTGAGTAAAGTTAAGCTCTCTCTGGAATAGTCCTCTAAGCAGCAAGCCTGGACGCCTGAGCTAAGGCATTTTACAAACAGACCTTACTGTATGGTTGTTTTACCTCAGGCCTGTCCCAGACTCCACCGGCCATTGACTTGCCTTTTTCACTTTCTTGGCCTGTGTTTTATACTGATTAGAAAGAAGGGATGCATTAAAATGGGATTTTTATTGACATAGCTGATTGAAACCTTCAAATTCAGTTTACCCCCCAATTTTTATATAGATGTGACCTATCCTGTAACAGAATCACAGAAATTCTGCCTACAATTTAAAACAAACAATCGAACAACGAAACAAAACCTTTTATTAGGGCATGCAGTCTTAAGAAACATAACTTCCTTTTTCTGACAATGATAGAGTTTAAATCCTAATAGCAGAATAATAGAACAGATAACCAGTGGACAGCTATTTTTCATTGTTTTTCTTTAGTATTTCACTTAGGCCTCCTGAGATCTTGATAGACTAGTAAGCCTTCACTTTTAAAAACATTTTGCATATGAATCTTTTAAAAAATCCACACTGTGCTGAAAACACAAGGGCCACTGTGAATAATCTCTCTCTGGTCTCAGATTTTCCTGTTGGAAAAAGAAGTGAAGCTTCTTTTCCTTCTCTTCCTCCTCTCTTCCATAATCCCCTTAAGCTTATTTGCCTCAGTTGGGGATTCCACAAGGTCCTAATCTCTCTTTTTGCCAAGGGCAGGGAAGCACAGCAGGTCAGAAGGCAAAGTAGTCTGACCTCAGCTTCATATTTAAGAACCCACTCAGAGCTCCATAAATATAGAGATCACTGTGTCCTTTTGGCTTAAAGAAATGGGCCCAGGGACATTGAATCGCTTGACGCGTCTATCTGACTCCAGAGCCTCTCCTTTCCCCCTACAAAATAGAGATTCATTTGCAGGGTAAAGGCTAGTTTGGGGAGCTCTGTGCAGTGCAGTGGATTGATGAAGAGCATGGTCTTGGGAGTCCAAAAGACTCATTGGAAGGAAATCATCTAACTTTGTGAGTTGGTTTCATCCATAAAAGAGAGATAGAGAGCACCTTTAAGTGCTATTGTGGGCCTGAGTTGATACTCATGCAGCGCTTAACACAAAGACTCATTCAGTAAATACTAGTACGCAAAAAAAAAAGATGTCATGTTAGAGCAGCTCCAGAAGCAAGGCCAATTCAGCTCCTGTCTTGGAGCTCCTGATCATAGTCAAGCCATGGGCTTCAGCTGACCACAGCTGGGCAGACTCCATCCAAAGTCGCTGTTCCGCTGAAATACCTGATTCCAAAATAATGATTCACAGCTAGTTATTGAAAAGAAATGCTGAAATAAGAGTCTCATGTATTTTAGGGTTAGAATATGTTGACTGTATGAGAAATGCAGCATATTTCCTAGATATACGTTTCTTTAAGTCGTGTGGCATATTGTTTTATTCAGAGAGCACTTGGTTGGTTCAGATTAGTTCACGTAAATGAGTTGATTGAAGGAGAGGGGGCACCTTATGGAACCTAAGGACAGAAAGGCTAGCTGGGTCTCTTTGGAATCAGAAAATAGTCAGAAATGGAAGATGCCACCTTCATCTTATAGGCCCTCTCTAGTTTCTGGGGGGTTTTTTGTTTTGTTTTTTTCTCTTTTTATAACATCCTACAACATGGTGTGGGATTTGATAGCTTAGTTGCTCAAGGTACCTGAATTGTTGCTTGGGTACCTGCTGGATCTGTTGTGGCTCATGTGGGTAAAGTCACCTGTACCAAGTGTGGCCACTGAGGCCTGCCTTGTCACAGAAGATATGAGACCTATAGTGAAGAGCAGGCACAGAAAGCCTGCCAATTATTCATCTCTTTAGTTACATTATACAAAGGAAGGAAAGAACTAGAAATCGGTTGTGTTTTCTAAAGCCTAGCAGCCCAGTTCCCCAAACTGAAACTTGTAGTATTACTTGAAGGCAGAGAGCCCCAGTAGCATGTGAAGTTTTAATGAGAAAATAATTCTCTTGAAAGCTGATCCTGCTACCTAAATTTATAAGTTTTCTGTTGTCACTTTATAATAAGTATTGACTATTAATCTTCATGTTCCCTTGAATTTCTTCCAGAGATATGAAGACTATGGAATGACTACCCCGTCAGGCCCGTTGCCAAGGTAAGATTTTCAGAAGGAAATATATTATCACTTTCTCACAGGCTGGTTTTTAACATTTTGCAAACTTGTTTTAGCTAATATGAGCAGACACAAAACTCTGTGCTGGATATTCCCTTGATCTAACTAGAAGAGGAAGGGATGTTTCAATTTAAGTTCAGCTTCCAGTAAGAATAGACTAGGTAATTTGGACCAAGTCTTCTGCTGAGGACAACTGGAACAGCTGATAAAGTATAAAAATTAAAACAAATAGCAAAAACCCAGAGAGCTAACAGGACAGTGTAGCAGTATGGGGCCAAAATACAGAGACCCCAGAGAACTGAGGCCTGCCTTGGGGGCCACTTTCCTCTCAGGAACATCTACTGATTCCAGAAAAGACTGCAGAGAGGATGAGGACCCAGGCAAAGCTTTTGACAGTCTCATGGGTTCACAAGGAGGGGCGACTCAGGTAAATACCAAAAGTTTTGAGTTTGAACCCTTAGAGGTCATATCCTAGGAGTAAGAGTGAATTACAGCCAGCATCTGCAGGAACTAAAGCTCATCTTCGAAAGTTGGTCAGGGCTGGCTGCTTGGGAACAGCAAATATAATTCCCTTTAGAAGAAGGTAATATCACTCTGGACCTTACATTATTGCTACAGTACATCTCTCTCACTCTCTCTCTCACTCTCTCTCTCTCTCACTCTCTCACATACACACACACACACACACACACACACAAACACACACACACACACACACGGGCATATGAGAAGAAAAGAAAATACAAGTTAAAAAAATCAAGAGTATTAGACAATAAAAGCAGAACTTTGGGGGATTCAGATATTGGAGTTATCATATACAGATTTAAAAATAATTACATTAGGTTGGATGCAGTAGCTCATGCCTATAATCTCAGCACTGGGAGGCAGAGGTGAGAGGATTGCCTGAATCCAGGGGTTTGTGACCAGCCTGGCAAGACCTCATCTCTACACTAAATCAGAAAATTAGCTGGGCGTAGTAGTGTGTGCCTGTAGTACCAGCTATTTGAAAGGCTGAGGTGGAGGGATGCCTGAGCCCAGCAGGAGGAGGCTGCAGTGGCCATGAGCGTGCTACTGCACTCCAGCCTGGGCGACAGGGTGAGACTCCAACTCAAAAATAATAAATAAATAAATAAAATAATTATACTCAATATGCTTAATATGAAGTTAAGTTTCATTGTCCAGAAAGGTATAAAGAACTAATTTGTGTTAGACTGTAATAAGTGAAGGATTTTGATAGTTTTTACGATCACTCACTTAAAAAATTCTGAAAGAGTGCATAGATAGAAGATAAGAAGGAAGAATAAAATAATTTAAAAATATCCAAAAGAAGATAGGAAATGGCAGAAAGAAGAGCATAGAATTTGCAGGACATACAGAAAGCAAGAAAAGTGATAGAAATCTAGAGTCAGATATATAAATGATTTCATTAAGTGTTAATACCTAAATATTCCACTTAAAAGACAAAGGTTGTTACGTTGGATTTTTAAAAGCTATTTTTGGCTTATGAGAAACACATCAAAAATATAAAGATACAGCTGGGCTTGGTGGCTCAGCCTGTAATCCCACGCCTTTGGGAGGCTGAGGTGAGTGGACTGCCTGAGCCCGCGGGTTCGAGACCTGCCTGGGCAGGCGAGACCTCATCTCTACAGTAAATCAAAAAAATTAGCCGGGTGTGGTAGCATGTACCTGCAGTTCCAGCTACTTGGAAGCCTGAGACAGAAGGAGCGCCGGAGCCCAGCAGGTCGAGGCTGCGGTGGCTGGGAGCGGCCACCGCACTCCAGTCTGGGCAACAGTGAGACTCCAAAGCAAAAAAAAAAAAAAATATATATATATATATATATATATATATATAAAGATACAGAAAGAATATAGAAGATTTGAGCAACATTATTAACCAACTTGACCTAATTGACATATGTAGAACAATAGACTCAATAGCTAAAATATGCCTTCTTTTAAAACAGAGCATGGTGGCTCATGCCTGTAATTCCAGCACTTTGGGAGGAGGAGGCAAGAAGATTGCCTGAGCCCACAGGTTCAAGACTAGCCTGGGCAACATGGCAAGACCTTGTCTCTACAATAAATCGAAAAATTAGCCAGGTATAATGGCACATGCCTGTAGTTCAAGCTACTTGGAGGGCTGAGGAGGAAGGATCACCTGAGCCCAGGAGGTGGAAGCTGCAGTGACTGTGAGTATGCCACTACACTCCAGCCTTGGTGACAGAGTGAGAGACTGACTCAAAAATAAATAAATAAACAAACAAGCACAAAAATAAATAAATAAATAATAAAATACATTTTAAAAATTTACCATATGCTGGGCCATAACAAATTGTAACAAATTTCAAAGAAGTAAAATCACTCAGAATATATTTGCTAATCCTAGTAAAATTAAGTGAGAAACCAGTAACAAACAATAACTGGAAAATCCTTACATGTTTGCAATTTAATCAGTACTCTTCTAAATAACTCATGGTACACTGAAGAAATTGCAATGGAAATTAAAGCGTACCCTAAAATGCGAATGCAATATATCAAAAGTTGTGGGATGCAGATAGAGCAATGTTGGGGGAGAATTTGTTGCCTTAAATGCATATTATCTCTAAAGAAAAATGGTTAAAAATCAGTGATCTAAGCATCCATCTCAAGATATAAAAAAAGGAGATCCAATTAAGCTTAAAGGAAGTAGAAGGAAGTGAACAATAAAAATAATACGCCAGGCATGGTGGCTCATACCTGTAATCCCAGCACTCAGGAAATTGAGGCGAGAGGATTGCCTGAGCCTAGGAGTTCAAGACCTGCCTGGGCAACTTGGCAAGACCTCGTCTCTACAATAAATCAAAAAATTAGCTGGACATTTAGTTGGCACATGCCTGTAGTCCCAGCTACTCGAAAGGCTGAGGCAGCAAGTTGAGGCTACGGTGGCCATGATCGTGCCACTGCACTCCAGCCGGAGCAACAGAGTGAGATTTCCACTGAAAAAAATTTAAATAAATAAAAATAAGAATTTAAATTAATGAAATAGAAAGCAAATACCATATTAGAGAGAATCAATAAAACCAAAAGTTAGTTCTCTGAAGACTAATAACCTCTGGCAAGCTTGATCAAATAATCTAGGTAACAAATTATCATAAGAAAAATGAAAAGGACACATTAATACATATCTTACAAATATTAAAAAGAAGACTTTATGAACATATTTCTGTTAATAAACTTGGAGCCAGGCATGGTGGCGTGCACCTATAATCCCGCTATTCAGGAGACTGAAACTGGTGAATTGCTTGAATTTAGCAGTTGCTATGGAATACATAGCAAAACCCTTTCTCAGAAAAAGAGAAATGAAAAATTCCTAGAAAGAGAAAATCTGAATAATCATATAACTATTTAAAAAATCGGAATCAGCCGGGCTTGGTGGCTCAGCCTGTAGTCCCTTGCCTTGGGAGGCTGAGGTGAGTGGATTGCCTGAGCCCCCAGGTTCGAGACCCGCCTGGGCAACTTGGCGAGACCTCATCTCTACAGTAAATCAAAAAATTAGCCAGGCGTGGTAGCGCGCACCTGTAATTCCTACTACTTGAAAGGTTGAGGCGGAAGGATCTCCGGAGCCCAGCAGGTCGAGGCTGTGGTGGCCGGGAGCAACCACTGTACTCTAGTCTGGGCGACAGAGCGAGACTCCAACTCAAAAAAAAAAAATCGGAATCATAATTAAAATTCTTCCCACAAAGAAAACTCTAGGCCCAAGTGGCTTCAACAGTGAATTCTGCCAAACATTGAAAGAGGAAGAAATGCCAGTGTTATACAAACTCTTCTAAAAAATAGTAAAAGAGGTCTGGCGCAGTGGTTCACACCTATAATCCTAGCACTTTGGAAGGCTGAGGTGGGAGGATTGCCTGAGCCCACAGGTTCGAGACCAGCTTGGGCAACTTGGTGAGATCTTGTCTCTACAATAAATAAAAAAATTAGCCGGGCATGGTGGAGCATGCCTATAGTTCCAGCCACTTGGAAGGCTGAGGCAGAAGGATCACCTGAGCCCAGCAGATCGAGGCTGTAGTGGCTGTGAGCGTACTGTACTCCAGCCTGGGTGACAGAGTGAGACTCCAACTCAAAAAAAAGAAAAAGAAAAAGAACACTTTCTAACTCATCTTATGAGATCCATATCACCTTGATACCAGGGACAAACACATGGTAGAAAAGGACATTGCAAGAGAAGAAACAAACATTAAGGGCCAATTTCTCATGAACATGGATATTAAAAATTTGAAATTAAATATCAGTGAACATATCAAGCAGTATATACACAAGGATATCACATTACAACCAAATTGGAGTCTTTCCAGCAATGTAGAGATAATTTAGCATTACAAAACCAGGAGATTTTACTACTTTCAGGAGAATAAAGGAAGAAAATCTTTTCATTTCAGTAGATACAGTATATGGCAAAATTCAACATCCATTCATGGCAAAAATCTTAGCAAACAGAGAATAGAAGTGAAATCTCTATTATGATAAAAAGATATGTTGGCAAATATTGTTTAATGTTGAAATGTTTAAGACTTTCCCCTCTGAGAGTAAGAGCAAGACAGATAATTGCTTGCATTATTTCTGTTTGTCATTGTCCTGGGGGCCTCACCAGTGTAACAAGGCAAGAAAAGAAAGTGTAAAGAGTAAGGAATGCAAAGGAAGAACTAATACAATTGTTATTCACAAATGCTATAATTTTGTAGTAGCATATTTTAAAATATCAACATATAAGTTGTTAGAAATAAGGAAATTTAACAAAATTGCCAAATAGCAAGCCAGCTAAATTGCAAGGTAACTGGATATAAGGCCAATATACAAAAACTTGCTTTATTTCTGTATATAAGCAACAAACAGAAAATAAAACATTTTCAAAGACCACTTAAAGCAGCATTCAGAAATATAAAACACCTCAGAATAAATGCAGTCAAAGATGTTTAAGCCCTCTAAAGAAAGATGTTTATGAATTAGACAGCTCAGTATTTTTAAACATGTCAGTTCTCCCTAAGTGATCTGTAGATTTGATGCAGTCCTATTCAAATTCGAAATCCCAATAGTTTGGTTTTTTTTAATATGTGGAAACTTTCATGCTAATTTATATGGAAATGCAAAGGTCCAAGAAAAGTCAAGACACTTTGAGAAAGAAGAATGAGGTTTCAGGACTATTCTAAATGTTATAAATTACTGTGAAGTGATTAAGATGGTACAGTATTGCTGTGAGGCTAGACAAATGGACCAATAGACTACACATGCGTAGGCATTGGTTTATTACAGAGATGGCGTTGCTGTAAAACAGGGTGAACCTCAGAAGTCAAACTCAACTATCCCTTCAATGACAAGATATCACATAAGTGGGATTGTTATCTGCTTCCTATTTAATTTTACTGTTACTTTTTTTTATTCTTCCACATTTCCAGAGGAGTTTACTTTGTTTTTCCTCAGCCTTCCTCTCCTCCTCCCCTTTACCCAGGCACTGCTTTGTGGTCCAAAAGCAACAGAAGTTAAAGTGTCAAGGTGAGCTCAGACTATACAAAGCAGAAGTGAGAGATTGGGCCATATGATCCAATTTGCCCAGATTAATCCCAGTTATTAATCGCTTTTACCCTTGAAAGTGTTCTGGTTTATAATCACCCAAGTTTAAGGTTTCTAGAGTGTTTAGATTGCACCAAACTATCTGAGCACATGTAGGATAAACAGGATGCAAATGTAGGTAGGAGAGGGAAAAGTACGAAGAATGAGGTGAAAGGTGAGAGATAATTTGTGGGTGGATGATCCAGAGATTGTGGCTAGGGGAGGTGTAGGCTCCAATCTAGAGGTTCTTGAAGGAGGAGTGTGCTTCATGTTAAGCTCTTAGAGCTATAAAATCATAGATGTTAGACATCCCTCTCAAAGGTGAATTTAAACCACAGCAATTCTTTAAAGAGAATAAAGAAATAGTCTGAGTTTCAGTTTATGAGATAACTCCAGAATAAATACAATTCAGTCTATATTCTTACCAAACTGGTTTAGTCCATTAATTGCTGGTTCACTGTCATTTTCAAAGAACTATAGTAGACTATTCTCTTTTTATTCTTGAATTTATTTAGAAGAGTGATTCTTTTTTTTTTTTTAGTTGGGGTCTCACTCTGTCGCCCAGACTGGAGTGCAGTGGCTGCTCCTGGCCATCGCAGCCTCGACCTGCTGGGCTCCGGCGATCCTTCCGCCTCAGCCTTCCAAGTAGACGGAATTACAGGCATGCGCTACCATGCCTGGCTGATTTTCTGATTTATTGTAGAGATGAGGTCTTGCTCGCTGCCCAGGCGGGTCTCGAACCCGCGGGCTCAGGCAATCCACTCACCTCAGCCTCCCAAAGGCACGGGATTACAGGCTGAGCCACCGAGCCCGGCTAAGAGTGATTCTAAAGGTGGGGTTATCATACCTCCTTTCAGGGGGTCTGTGAGGTCAAAACTATCTTCATAATGTTATTAAGATGTTATTTGCCTTTTTTTCATTGTCTTGGTATTTTGTATGGACGTACAAAGGCAATGGTGGGAGAAGCTGCAGGTCCTTAGCAGGCATCAAGGCGGTGCCACCAGACTGTGAGCAGTTATTGCAATCTTCACTGCTATGCAATCACTGTTTAAAAAAAAAGTTGTTTTATGTTAGCATGTCCTTGGTGAAGTAGTAAAAATTATTAATTTTATTAAATCTTGACTCTCGAGTCTTTAATAGTTTGTGCGACAGAAGAGGAAGTATGTATAAAGCATTTCTGCTGAATATGGAATTTTGAAGGAAAAGCCCTTGCTCCCATTGTTTGAATAGAGACTGAACTGAGCCAACTAGCTTGTGCTTTTTACTTGAACAAACAACTGACAGACCTGGGTATTTGGCAGACACTGTCTGGAATGTGAACAAAGTGAGCCTGTCACTTCAAGAAAAACAACTGACAGTATTTGTGGCTAATGATAAAACTGAGCTTCAAAGTGAAAATTAGAACTTTGGAAACTTGTCTGCCACTGTGAACTTGACAGTCTCTTAGTACCTAAAAGCTTTTCTGGATGAGTCCGATGATATTAATGAATGGGGCTTTTTGATACTGCAAAATGAGATGTAATAATATCAAGAAGGTCTACAGAACTCAGTGAACTAGTGTTTTCCCAGTTACAAATGTCATGAAGTCACACATGAATTAAAGATCCATTCAAAGTGCAAGATAGAGACGTAAGTTTTCATGGCACAGAGTATGAAAACTTCATCAGTGTTGTCTCTGAGTCCACATTGCAACTAACCCCTAAAGAACTACCACTTGTTGAGTTTTGGTGTGGTATCAAGAAGAATCTCTGAAGTATTCTTTGAATGTTATCTGAAAAGTCTATTAAAATATTACTTCCTTTTCCAATTGCATATTCTGAAGCCAGAATTTCTTCCTAACATACAGCAACTGATTGAATGCAAACTATACAAGGATCCAAGTGCCTACTATTTTTTTTTTAAGTGAGAAAGCAGGATTTATTGAGAGGACAGAGAAGCTCCCACAGTGGGAGGGGACCCAAAGGTGTTGCCCATCTTGGGGCAAATGCCTACTATTAAGGAAATTTGAACAAAATAGAAGAGTGTCACTCTTCTCACTAATTTTTTGAGTGGGAGTTAGAAAATGTAGTTAATTTCATGAAAAATCTTATGTTAATATGGTTTAATTGTTATTTTTAAATGAATTTTTAAAATAAGTCCTAGCTGGGCTCGGTGGCTCAGCCTGTAATCCCGTGCCTTTGGGAGGCTGAGGTGAGTGGATTGCCTGAGCCCGCGGGTTCCAGACCCTCCCGGGCAGCGAGACCTCATCTCTACAATAAATCAAAAAATCAACCAGGCGTGGTAGCACATGCCTGTAATTCCGGCTACTCGGAAGGCTGAGGTGGAAGGATTGCCGGAGCCCAGCAGGTCGAGGCTGTGGTGGCCAGGAGCGGCCACTGCACTCCAGTCTGGGCGACAGAGTGAGACTCCAACTCAAAAAAAATAAAGAAAGAAAATAAAGAAAAAATAAAATAAAATAAAATAAAATAATTAGCCGGGCGTGGTAGCGCGCGTCTGTAATTCCAGCTACTCGGAAGGCTGAGGCGGAAGGATCGCCGGAGCCCAGCGAGTCGAGGCTGCGGTGGTGGGTAGCGGCCACTGCACTCTAGTCTGGGCGACCGAGTGAGACTCCAACTCAAAAAAAATAAATAAAATAAAATAAAATAAGTCCTAAAAATTGTTTTCCATTTTAATTTCTAATGTGGTAAATATTGATATATATAATCCACATGAAAAAAGGTCTTGGGAGTCTTCAATAATTTTTGTGAGTTGAAAGGGATCTGAAGACCGAAGAGTTTGAGAACCACTGCTTTAGGACACCGGTTTTTCAGCCTTAATGGACATCAGCATCATCTGTGGAGTTTTAAAAATTATCAGTGTCTGGGTCCCACCTCTAGAGATCCTGCTTGATTTGTTTGGGGTGCAGTATAGGCATCGGGATTAGTATACACTCCCAGGTGATACTAACATACAGCCAAGGGTGGGAACCATAGCGTTAGTCAGAGGCTAGAAACAAGCAGGCCCTGGATTTGTCGACATCGTTGGTTATGTTCCAGGCACTGTTCTTAGTGCTGCAGATGGGGCATCAACAAATAGAAAAAGTCCCTGCCCTCAGGGAGCAGGTGAAATGTCTCGCTTTCCGAGAGAGGAGATGATTAAACAGATAGACAATCATATGTTTCTGCAGGGCTTTAGGGTGGGCCTCATAAAATACCAGAGCCAGGGTCCAGTGGAGTCCTGATTTTGGTGTGCTTTGCCTCCAGACCAGGTTATGGCCCCGGTTTGCTGCAATCTTCGGAGCTGGTGCCCTCAGATCCCCAGCAGCCACAGGCGTCAGCCGAAGCCCCATTTGCTGCCCGTGGGATCTACTCTGAGGAGATGCCATCGGTGGCCCGGCCTCGACCTGTCGGGGGCACCACAGGTACATGTGACTATTTAGCTTGCATGTCTGACCTGTAAGACATTTGCTCTTCAGCTAAATTGGAAGACTATATCTTAGACTTTCCAGACTGTCCAGGTCTAGTATGTAGCAGCCTCTCCGCTGGTCAGAGCTGTTTTCCCTTGGATCCTGGCAGAGGTGTGGTTGGGGAAACAGAAGGGGGTGAGCAGCAGAGATCCCAACACTGACATCCTCATCCAGTCCCTTCACACGGAATTCACAGCACACTTCTTCCAGAGAAAACACTGCTGACTCCTTTATAGTACATGGAAAGATCTATTTCTGAGCACTTGATGTGGCATGAACACAAGTGTTTGTTTTAAAGAAGGTGCCTTTCCAGCTTGCAGTGATTGACTCTCAAAGTTGCTAGACAATGACTGGAGAGAGATTTTTGTTTTATTTGGTCACTTCTATGAGGGGACAGCTATCATTTTCTCCTGGCTGCAGGACTACCTCCCTTAGTTCTTCCCTTCTACCTTTGTTAATATCATCTTCTTCCTTTTTCTTACTTTCTTGTTATTGTTTCCTCTCCCTATGCCCAAATCTTGCTGTTCCCTCTCTGCTGCCACACACATGGGCAAAGTCAGTGATGGAGGACCTGCAGGAAGCCAGTGGCCACTGTGGGTCCAGCTCCTTTGTATTCCTCTCAAGCCCTGATTAAAATAACTGTCTTAGTGTCATTCCTGGGTAACCAGGGCAACTTTTACTTGATAATTCAACAGTGAAAGATCATGTTTTCTGAAGTGGTTTTCAAATCATTATTGCATTTTAAGTCTTTGCATACAGATTTTCTTACTTTTAGTATTTAAAGAGTTTTTTTAAATTACCTGTTGGAATTCAGATGAAGATTTATACCAGCATATCTCCACATGGGCAATAAAGTTCCCAGTTTACATTCTTAAATGCACATAGCTTAACGTGTTCAATTTCTGAAAATGTTGAAGCCAGAGAGAAAATAGATTTTGCTTGTAAAAAATTCTAAAATATATTTATTTGGTTTATATGATAATTTAGTTTACTTATCAAAGTATAATATTTAGTATAGTCAATGTAAGAAGCAAGTTTTTTTTCAAACACAGTTAAAATTTAGAGGTTATATTTCTGTTCATATACTCAATTTAAAAAATTGAATTTTTAATTTTAAAGATGTGGGGTACAATTCAGGGTTAAGTATACAAATGTTTATTATGTAGGTACCCTTACTGGTGAGGTATGCACCCCCACCCTGGCAGAATCTCACTATTGCCAATCCCGTTCCTACCCTCCGGCAATTTCCCACAACTGACAATCCTTTTCTTATAGTATTATAATAGTTGTTCAAAATCCACTTATGGGCCAGGCTCGGTGGCTCAGCCTGTAATCCCAGCACTTTGGGAGGCCGAGGTGAGTGGATTGCCTGAGCCCGCGGGTTCAAGATCCGCCTGGGCAACCTGGCGAGACCTCACCTCTACAATAAATCAAAAATTAGCGGGATGTGGTAGTGCACGCCTGTAGTTCCAGCTACTTGGAAGGCTGAGGCAGAAGGATGGCTGGAGCCCAGCAGGTAGAGGCTGCGGTGGCCGGGAGCGGCCATTGCACTCCAGTCTGTGTGACAGAGTGAGACTCCAACTCAAAGAAAAAAAAAAAATCCACTTATGAGTGAGAACATGTGACACTTAGTTATAAGTATATTTTAACAGTCTAACTGCTCTTAGTTTTTGTCCATTGTTGAGATGCATGTAAATGTTTGAGAAAAGGAGGGCATTCCAAATTTTGGTTAGGCAAAAGAGAAATAAATAATGTTTTCTGAGTATCCTCAGTAATTATAATTAGGTTAGGAATGAGCTTATTTGCAGAAAATGAGTTAGACAGAAGAAAGTACATTTGTCTTAGAATCTCCTGGGAGTTTTTTGTTAATTGTTGAATGCAGCATCAAGTTCAGTGGATGCTTGACATTTATGAGGAATTTGTCCTGAGGTCTTTGTACATTTCCAAATTTTCAAATACCTTACAATTGGTTTCCCCAATCAGTCCAACAGAAGTATAAGGGCACAGCTAGAGACCCTTTCTAGACCCATAAGGAGGTTGATAAGCAGTGCCCCCTCTGACTGAACAGAGATTCTTATATGGCAGATGGTGATCTGCCTCATCAGTTTACCTGAGATTCAAATCTGTACCCCCATATTTCAATTTACTCCTTCATTTCACAAAACTTCAACTCATGAATAGTTGATACATAAAAGCTATACTATTTGTGTATGTTTTTCAGGGTTCCTAAAAGATCTATATAGTTTAAAACCCTGAGCTCTTTCTATGTAGTGTACTGCTTTGTGTATTTTGAAAAATTTTTAAAGTTTGTTATCATCTTATTGCACTTAATTACAAAATCTCAGTCATTCTTATTTTCTCCAATTATTTTCTTACCCTCCTTTTTAAAAACTGAAGTTTTAATGAGAGAACCCATTATGTGTTAATTTATTTTGTTGTTTTCTAACTTTCTAGAGAATATACACTTTTATAATGTCATCAAGAAAGTAGGTCAGTTGCAAATTTACAACAATTGGTGAATATTTTTCCATTTTGTTCTTCTGGGAAATTCTTATATTTTGCTTTGTCTATTAGTCTACAAAATAAATAATGTGCCCTTATGTTTTACAGAATTTTCTGTACTTTACAGGTGCTTTGCATACAAGAAGTCTTGTTTCTCCTGTTAATTATGGCTTATTTGAACCTTGCTGCACAGCATGTATACTAGAAGAAATTCAGATGTACTAATTTTTACTTTAAAAATCTAGAAGAATATAGAAGTATATTTATCAAACATTTGAAAGGAAGTTATTTTTTAACTTCTGTTATGAGATAAAATTATGTAAAAAATATGTAATGGAAAATGTTGCAATCTATTAAAAGAGTCACTTTTTTTATGATAGAAATTATCAAACATGTATATGCCTAAAAATTACCAGAAACAAAAATAAAATAGTACATGGGGAATTTACAGATTATGACCAAGAAGTATTTTCATTATAGAGGTTAGCTTGTATAAATTGATACGTGGGCAAACCTGTAAAGATCTATGGTCAAAGGGTGGGAAGAAAGAATTCAGAAAAGAAATATATGTGCGTGGAGGTCATATAAGAGGAAACATGGGGAAAAGACCCAGTTTTGAATTGATTAAAGAAATGCAAATTAAAACCACAACGAGGCACGATTTCAATCATGAAATCATGTTTGTAATATTGTGTTATGGTAAAGTCAGCATCTGATTTCTTCATCCGTACAGTGGGGTTACGTGCCTCCTGTGGTTGTTAGGCTGATGAAAGATGACAGGTGACAACAAGGGTACCTGCATATTAACCATTTGTATACCTGACCCTGAATTGTACCCCACATTTTTTAAACAAAAAATTCATTAGTCAATTAAAATAAAAAGAAAAAAGAAAGAAAGCTGGCAGATGGAAGTGCTCAGAAAAATGCCTGGCATAGCATAAACCCTCAGTAAATATTAGCTGTTGTTATTATTATCACTATTATGTTCTTTCCAGTGGTGGCATGAATAAGTAAACTTTTGGAAAGCAGTAGGACTCATGGAGCCTTTGATTTGATAATTCCACTTCTGGAAATCCAATTTCACCCCATACCCTGCCCTAAATCCAAAATACTGGGGGAAAACTACATGTGCCAAGATGTTTATCACAGCATTATTTATAATAGCAAAAAATTGTTAGCTCCAATACATACCCAGTAATAAGTGTAAATTATGCAGCTATTTAAAATGAAGAGGTCGGGCACAGTGGCTCCTAGCACTTTGGGAGACCAAGGTGGGAGGGTTGCTTGAGCCTAGGAGTTCAAGACAAGCCTGGGCAACATAGCGAGACTTTGTCTTATAAAAAGTAAAATAAAGTAGTCATAAAAGGCCAGAAAAAAAGGAGCTTAAGATTTACCAGTTGTCTTCTGTGTTTGATACTTGATCTGTTTTCTCTTTTAATCCTTTAAAGAACCCTCCAAGGTGGATTTTTGATCCCTTGGAGAAGTGAGGAATTGAGGCTCAGCAGGAGTGGTATTCAGTTGCGTGGGGCCAGGCTTGTGGGTGGCTGAGCTGGAATGCAAACCCAGACTTGCTGGACTCAGTTGTAGAATCCTGGGGGAAGCCTGTGCTGTATTGTTAAGTGAACAAAGCGGGGTACCAGATCATATCCGGATTATGATTTCAGCCGCCACTGTGTGGTTTAACACAAAAGGGATGCTTTTCCCCCTAGCAGTCGTTTGAGCCTTTGGAAGAGATGGGGAATGTGGTGCTGCATATACAGCTCTTTGCAAGATTTGCTCAAACAATACCTGGTGGGCAAGCAGTACTGGTGGTCCTGATGTTTTCAATATTGTTAGGAATTTTCAGAAATGGACCAGTGCTTCTTAGAGTGTATTGTTCTGGCCAGAGCCCAGATAGTTTTTCCTGGCCTTTAGTTATCATTATAAATCCAACTAAAGTCACTGAGAAGTTCTTTTTTACTATTATTTTAAAGATGTGGGGTACAGTTCAGGGTTAGGTACATAAATGGTCATTGTACAGGTGAAGTTTGTGTCTCCCATTGGTCCTCACTTCGCCTGGTTTGGGGTCAGCTACCCTTATTAGTGTTATGTGCCCCTGCCCCTTGCAGTGACTGGCTACTGCCAGTCCCTTTCATGTAGTGTTATGATAAAGGTTCAGGATCCACTTATGAGTGAGAACACGTGGTGCTCAGTTCTTTGTTTCTGTGATAGATCACTGAGTATGATGGACTCTAAATCCACCAAGTTGCTGCAAAGTCCATAATTTTGTCCTTCTTTATAACTGAGTAATATTCCATCATGAATATGTACCACATTTTTTCTTATCCAGTCCACTTTCAATGGACTGCATGGTTGGTTCCATGTTTTTGCTATTGTGAATAGTGCTGCAATAAACATGTGTGTGCAGGTAACTTTTTTTGTAGAATGCTTTGAGTGAGGAGTTATTTTTTTAGCAGTAATTGATTAATGGAGGTTGTTAATTAGACAACTAGTAGAGGAGCAGACTTAAAGATGGAGGAGGCTGCCTCCCTTGCCTCTGTGAATGTGCAGAGCCTCTGCAGTACTAGTCTGAGCATTCTGAGGGAAAGCTGATGATCATAAGAGATTTGGAAGTAAATGTTTTATTTCATAGTGCTTAAATTTCACTTTTCCCCCTTAGTTTGCAGTATACGGATATTTCCATATGCCAGAAGTTGATGAGGGAGAAAAATATTGTTTAACGCCTGGCATTCATAACCACATGGTGCTGGGGAGAGGGTTTAATTGTGCTATACCTAAATTATGGAAACGGTATGAGTATAATGAAAATGTACTTTAACATTCTGAATTCAAATAAATATATGTCCTACCTTTAAGGAAAAAAAGCGTATGTATATCCTACTCCTCTTGAATCTCAAAGCGACACACTAGAAGGAAACAGGCCGCAGCTTCATGATGACTCCAAGCCTTCCACTCCTTGCTTCTGAATAAATGAGCCCATCCTTGTGTGTAACCTCTAGAGAATGAATGGAAATGCCCTGTCTTGTATTCTTTATTCCAGTTCTGCTGTCTAGTGAGAAAATGACCTATTGGCCTCTGTATTAAAAGGAAATAAGTGCCCAGGAACCAAGAAACTTGTGGTCTGTTTTCCTTAGGAAATGCCATTTCTGAACATAAAATCAGTGCCATGTTTGAACAGTGCTTATCGTCCCTTGTCCTTGAGAAAGTGCCATGATCAGAGCTGAAGACATCTTCCTTGACATCCTCATTCTTTTATACATACTGACCAGGCCACTTCACCATGTTTCTTCCAGGTTCCCAGATCCAGCACCTGACGCAGGTGGGCATTGCTAGCAGAATTGGAGCACAGCCAGTGGAAATCCAACCCAGCAGAAGCAGCCAGTATGGGGGGCCAGGCTGGCCTTCATACGGGGAGGACGAGGCGGGTCGGAGAGAGGCTGTGAGTATCTTGTGTTTGTGTCGTTATTTGAAATTTACACATAAGCACTTAGCTTAGTTGCTTCTGCTGTGGGGGATCCCCTTTTGAAACCTACATTTTAATGTTTTTGTTTGTTTGTTTTGAGTCAGGATCTCTGTTGTCCAGGCTGGAGTGCAATGACATGATCTCAGCTCACTGCAGCCTCAACCTCCTGGACTGAGGTGATCCTTCCGCCTCCGCCTCCTGAGTAGCTGGGACTACAGGCACATGCTGCCATGCCCTGCTAATTTTCATTTTGTTTTTTATTTTTTGTAGACACGAGGTCTCACTATGTTGCCCAGGCTGATCTTGAACTCCTGGGCCCAAGCAGTCCTTCCACCCCGGCCTCTCAAAGTTCTGGGATTATAGGCATGAGCCACCATTCCCAGCTTAAACTACATTTTAAAAAGCTTTAATCTCCCTCACTTTTCCCCCTTGCTGTGCTTTTGCTTGATGATTTTAGCATCTACCTTTGGAAAGAACCTACTTTTTCTTGAGACAGATTTACGGCTTTAAGTAATGAATTTGAACCTGTGGATGACTACAATCTGGGCTTCACCTTTGGTGTAATAGCTGTATAAATACTGACGATCTCACATACCATTTATGTTTCATTGTGGGTTGATTAATGGCATTTGCATTATGACCACCACGAGTGGACAGTTTTGCAATAAGCACACAGTTTGAAGCATTTTAAGGCACAGATTATCTTTCCGAGGCTCTAATCACTCATTCAATATGGGCACAGATTATTTCTACAAGTGCTTTCATTTGCTTTTCTCAAGAATTTTCTATCCTGGGGGGATAAATTAATGAAAGTTGAAAATACAAACCAGAAGATTACCTTTGTTTTATCCTTATCATTTCTGTGCCTTTCCAGCAGACACACTAAATTCCTTTCATGGCTGGCTGCTTTTACTCAGTGAAAGGAAATTAACTTTTGAATATGATATTTCCCCTAAAAGAGACATTATTATATTTACAGTTTCAGGTATCCACTTTAAGTTTGCTGCCAGTTTTCTTTTCTTTTCTCTTCTTTTCTTTTTTTGTCTGCATGGAGCCCAGTTTACCTTCATGAGGTGTTTGCGTTTTCCTGTCATGCCCAATAATGCTCACTTTGGATCACTATCTGGAGAAGCAAAACATAGAAATAACCCAGGGCTGGAATGCCATGTTTGCCTCCCTGATAACTTGCCTGCCCTTAGTGTAGTTTTTAGTACACAGTTTTAGTACTCTTACATGGAAATGCAAAGAGAGACTTTCTCCCACTGGAAAAAACATGAAAATAAATCACTGAAAAGTATAATAGTTCTTATTAAACTAACACCAAATTGATCTATATGCTGCAAATATCAGCCGAACTATTGTCTGCTTTAGTGTGAATAACTTGTTAAAGACCAGGCTTTCCAAAGCCCTCGATAGACACACAGACAGAAGACAGAGGACAATCAGATAAGTGGAAAATGGTTTTGTAGTCATGTTCCAGCTCTGTGATTGCAGCGTATGCTCACGTGCATACCCTCCCTGGGCTCCAGTCAGGGGCAAGATCTGCCTACCTCTTTCGGCTCTCTGGTATCCCATCTGACCTTTCACCTCCATGGGCTACTCTAGCCTCCCTTTCTCCTTTTCTCCCCCATGGGCCAGGAACCCCAGCCCCACTGGGGCTCACCCCCCACCCCCCACCTTCCATGGAGTATGGGCAGTGGAGGCCCTGGTGGAGGGCTGAGTTGGTGGATGGGAGATGGGTGAAGGGATTCCTGGGAGCATTCCCAGTGCCAGTTTGAATTTGATTTTCCTGTGTGCTCTTACATGGGAAGTACAGTAATGTTTGCCATGTTTTTCAGACACACATGCTCGGACATCAAGAATATTCTTCTTCACCGCTGTTTCAGGTGCCAAGGACTTCAGGCAGGGAACCCTCGGCTCCTCCCGGAAACCTCACCCACCGGGGGCTGCAGGGCCCTGGGCTAGGCTACCCCACCAGCTCCACAGAAGACCTCCAGCCCAGCCACTCCTCAGCCTCCCTCATCAAAGCAATCCGTGAGGAGCTGCTCCGGCTCTCCCAGAAGCAGAGCGCCGTGCAGAACTTCCACAGCTGATCCATCTTGCCTTGCAGATTTGCCAAGTATCCGCTTCCCGTGGAAGCAAGACCAAAAGAAAATCAACTGAGTGGGTGCTGGGGAGAAGAACAAGCATTTCCTGGGCAAGCTGCCCAAGTAAGAGAGCAAGTTGCAATTCTTGAAGATGCCATAAGTCACATGATGGCTCATGATAACTTTTCCCGGGTTGGCAATTTTGTGACTACTTGGGTTCAGTCAAAATGTGTGTACTCTCTGGCCAAAAGCCAGCAACACTTCACAAAAACAAATGTAAGCTAACAAAACTACTACGTTAGTCTCCTTTTTAAAGGCAAAAGTTTAAAATGTGTAGATGGATATAGGGATTAAAGAAATCAAGTGTTTCCGTGGGATTCAGACTGATGTGTACGATGAACCTGCTGCTTTGTTTTCTGAGAAAAGAGATTTGAAGACATTTTATTAACAGCTTGATTTTCCTCTTTTACTCCATAGGAACTTATTTTAATAGTAATACTAACAAGAATACTAAGACTGTTTGGGAATTTTCAAAAGGTACTAGTGAGAAACCAAATGGTAGGTTGTAGAGCCTGGTGACTCCAAGCGAAGCCATCACCTGCATTCTTCCTCCTCCTTCTGGTGCTACAGCCTGAGGGCCTTCACCTTTATGTCTGAAACGCAACTGGCCTTTTCAGTGGAAGAATATGTTGAAGGTTTCATTTTGTTCTAGAAAAAACATAGAAACCCTCCCAAGGGTAGGGGGAGGAGCTTAATATTTATTTGGTTATTCAAAATACATATCAGGGTTTAGATTTACATTCTTAATGGTATTTGCTTTTTATTAATTGGGCACGTGCAACGCCTGGTAGCGTCTCATTCAGTACCTGCCATTAAGGCCTGTCCTGTGGAATGAGGCTTTCAAGAGGTCCTAACTGGGCCTTGCTAGTGAGTTGCTCACGAATTATGTTTGAATGAGAAAGCTTATGTAAGCAAAAATGATTTATAAAAATTCCCAGGACCCCAAAATTGTTATGAATGCGTCCCTAGTCATCACCTTCCCTGTGTTCAGGACCTGGAAATGAAATTGAGTTCAGCTCAGTCTCTCCGTAATGAATCAAGAATGTAAAGAAGAGTCTTGAGATCACAAGAGAAAAGAGTTGCTTCCCATTTCTGATTCTATTGTGCTGTTACTCTGTTGGGTGACAGTTAGAACTATCTTGTGCACTTTGGGTCTGAGAAAGGGGATCGTTCCACTTCCCAGATTAGAGTAAGGGAAATAGCGACAAGGGCCATTCTGTTTTCTTGTACCTGAGTGAAACTCAGAAGAAAAGCAGGCTTAGAACAAGATTTCCACTATGAACCTCTTTTTATTAGATCAACTAATGCAGTCACATGTCACTTAACGATGGGGATATGTTCTGAGAAATGAGTCGTCAGGCAATGTTGTCACTGTGTGAATATCATAGATGCATTTACACAACCCTAGATGGTATAGCCTACTATACACCTAGGTGATGTTTTGTAGCCTATTGCTCCTAGGCTACAAACCTGTACAGCATGGTTCTGTACTGAATACTTTGGGAAGCTATAGCACAATGGTAAGTATCTGTGTATCTAAACATAGAAAAGGTACAGTAAAAATACGATATTGTCATCTTATGGGACCCCCATCATATACCAAATCACCGCTGAGCAAAACACCATTATGCATGCATGACTTTACCTTTAATTAAATTCCCGATAAATGGGTAGAATTTAGGACTCTAACTCATCAAAACCTGTGTATCTGTGTCAAATTTCAAGAACCCTGAAACAGCTAAGACAGGTTTCCAGACTGTAATTATGGAGTTGCAGAGTCACGTTTCAGCACTTCATCAACTGAACCTGTCATGCAAATGTAGAGTCATACAATACAGGGCACGCTGGTTCTAGGGAGTTAAATGTAGCCATTTTTCATCTGTACGCCTCTGACAGAGAAGAGTTGCAGAAGAATAAGTTTCAAGGATGTTAAATAAGGACTGGCAGTGTCCTGTCAGGTAGTCCTTAGAGGCACCAAAGAGTGCGGGAGGGAAGGCCCCCCCAGGGTCAATTTCTTACCTCTTGGTCTTGGTTAAATCCCAGACTCTCCCTAAAGTGGAGAGATTGCTTTGTGTGTCATTTCAAAATGTCAGGTTTCCTGAATATGGTATTAAGAATTTCAAATATCCGGGCAGAAATTTATTATGAACACCTGACAGTGAGCTCAGATTGTGTGACAGCAAATGGAATGAATGCCCCTTCTCTCCCCAGCCGCTCAGTATCATAAGTGCTTGCACATAGATGTACTAAGAATGGTTATCTCCTATGTACGCTGCAGAGAGGGGTCTCTGTTTCCAAGGGGGTTGACTGCAACAGCAATTTGGATGCCTTTCAAACCACCATAAATGGATTCTACTTGTGTTTTTATTCTTAGAACCGTTAAACATTGAAACAGATGTCAAGACCAAAGATGATGTATAATAAACAACTGGTGGCTGTGGTGTGGTATGAGCAGGCCCCATGGGATTACCAGCCTCTGTTGTTGGTTATAAAGCACACTCAGTTTGCTCTTGTTTCCTCTAAACATCTGCCGTAACAGTTTTACTAGTCACCCAATTCAGAATAGACTAGCTGGGGTGGGAAGCACTGACTCCGGTGGGTCTTCAGACACTTGATTAATGTGATCTATTGAAAAGAAAGGCCCTCGTGTTGTTCATGAGTGGCTTTGGAGTCCACTTATTGAGGCACTCTAAAATGAACAGTGAAATGTTGTCTATTCTTTTTTCCTATTTTAAAAGCTCTAGTGGTAACACATACTATGAACTTGAGTTAGAATATTTGGAGAAATGATTTTCTGCAGAGTCTACTTTGTCACGAACTCACTGTATCGGGTTCCTTCTCTGAACCTCATTCTCCCCATCAGCCAAACTAGAACAGGCCTCCCCTGCCCACCTCCCAGGATATCTAGTGGTGAGAATCGGAGGCAATCTTGTGTGCAGACCTCCCTTGAAGAGGGAGCATAAAGCACTGTGAAGATGTAAAATGTTACCTGTGTAAATGCCCTGGCATGGGCAATGGCATATGCTGTGAGCTTCTGGTGAATGGACCCACACGTGAGTCACCAGAGCAAAACTGAAAGCCCAGTGCGACTCATCTTTATCATTCCTGTTTTGCTTCAATACACTTCTTCCTCCACTAACTTTCAAATAGCATTTATTATGCATCTTTCTATTCCTGATTTTCTGCTGTTTCTAGCACTAAATAAGTCTGAAGACATGAGCCCTGCCTTCTGAGATCTTAAAATCTAAGATACTACAGATGGGTATAAAAGGTGAAAAGTGCAAATAAATAACGTGGTTTAAACATCAATAAAATTCACTCAGAATACACAAGTGCATTAGGTACCCAGAAGAAGTTGTGGTAGTCGCTTGTTTGGGAATGGTGGGATCCTGGGAAGAAGTCAACTTCAGGAGCTACTTTACTGAAGACAGAGGAGCTGCCCAGGCAAGTGGTGAGATGGAACACAAGGAGCCACAAGTGAGCCTGGGGAAGGATGTCAAAATTAGGTGATGCTGTCATTGAAACTAAACTTGATCCTGATCTGCCACAGGATGGAGACAGAATCCCTAGCTGCACTGTTAAGGGAGTTTTGGAAGAGAAGAAACAGGTGCTGGGAGGGCACATTTGCAGTAATACAGCAAGGAAATGACCAGGTCTGTGAAGAGCTACAGAGGAAGCACCCCAGTGTGGGGGAGGATGAAAGTGATGAGAATGACACTAAGGTTTATTGTTTAGAGCAGATCTCAATGGTCAGTAGTTTACCCAAGCTAAATCCATTGTGGAGCATAGCGAGTTAGAAGTATATTCAGCTTCTTTGCAGCTACTTGTACATTTTCTCCAAATTGTACTTAATTTCAGTGTGTTTTTATTGAGGTGGCACATGGCTTTTAAGCTGCAGGTGTTTACCAACTAAATATTTCTGGGTATGAGGCTTGTGAGGCAAAGCACAAGTGAAGGCACACAGGTGGAGGTGTACCCAAAAGGCTTCGGGCTGAAACAAGTTCTGTGCGTCAGGAGGTTCTCAACTCCCATGGGCAGGGTCGGTGTTACTGTATTTGCATAACCTCTTCATGAGTGCTCCAGTGACCAAACCAATCACTTGGACACTGATCTGCATGGGCAGTCATTTACAAGTTAATCATTAAGTAAGCCTGTCATACCCTTCGTACTAGATTCTCAGACATGAATGAATTTGTTGGTTGGAAGCTGGTAAGGTTCTGGGCATGAGGTCAAGGGGACTGCAGTTTTAACTTCCACACTAACTTTAGCTCTAGTTGAGTTTTTGCCATGATCTTTTCTACCTCCAGAGCAAGGCTCCAAAGCCAGTCTCCAGAGCCTGCTCATTCACCTCTTCCTGGGCAGGGGTACGAGGAAAGTCCACTTCTATACCAACAGATGGACCATGTGAACATAATACACATTCCTATGGCCCAGTCCATTAAACTTCATTTTCACAGTTAATACATTAGCAAGACATTCTTGTTACAGGTGAGAGGAGTTTCTATGAACAACTGCTGAAACATTTTGCATAAAATATAAGATTTATGCTGGTTACCTAGTGAGCAAGGAATGTTCACATTTCAGGTTGCTTTTGATATTCTTGGAGGTGATTGTTAGTGTCTTCTCTATGAAGAAGACGTGAAAACCGAAGTGTCTTGGCACAATGCTAAGTCCATGCTTGTGTGTGTAGCAGTACGTTTGACAATTTATCTTAATAAAACCAAGTAGCATTAAAAACAAGGAAAATAATATTATATGCCTTTGGACACATGAAACAAAGGAACCAGCAAGAAAATGAGAGAAGCAATTAATGTCTTAATCTGATGCACTCGAGTCAAAATTGGTTTCCCAGGGTAAATAATTTTCCGGAATCCATACTTTTCCTTCTTCCTCCAGGTTTTTCAGGGATCACTTCACACTTAAAGAAAGAATGAACAGGTAAAAGGGACAGAGATAAAAACTTGATTTGAGTCTTGCATTCCCTGATCACACAGAACCTTTCTGGACTACTTGGAGCAATGTGAATAGTCTTTTCTCATACCTAACAGTTTCCAGGTATTCATAATTCAACTCCCTAAGTGCAAATAGGGAATTGTACAGGGCCAAGTTCAAGTCAGACATCCTGTACTGGTCCTCCTGCAGATGGGGGGAGAGAAGAGGGAGGTACTAGAATTGAGGCTCTGTTTATTACTTCACTTGCTCTAAGCGGCAGGGGACACGTTTCAGAAAAGGGAGTAACAACACACTGACTTTGCCCCTCTCCAGAGCCTTGTCCAGGCAGTGTGGAGATTGGGTTAGTGTTAACGGGAAAGGTTCCTCAGCCAAGCTTCTCTGGGATGTTGACTTGTCTCCTCCTACTCAGTCAAGGTCCATGTTCTTCTGATTCTTCCTGCACCCTCATTCCTAGATGATGAATATTAATGTACGAAAATGTGCAGAGCAAATTGAGGCCACTTGTGGCATCAATACTGCAACTTGAACTTGACAATCATGGTTTGCTGGTCTCAAACAGGCACTTAAATCTCAGTATGGGTATATTATTTAGTAATTGAACCCTCCCTTCTACTTGTCTGTTATGTTTCTACCCTTCAATTAGCTGCACTGTTTTCTAATGTGCTGTAGAGTTTTGGAAGTAATTTATGCAAGTGTTTGGTTTCCATGTTTACAATTTATACAGCTTTCCTAGCATTTTAAATGGAAATGTCAATAAATGCTATGAATTGGTGTCAAAGTGATATTT